TCTATTTTCATCAAGGATCATAAACATAGAATGTCCTTCGCTTTGCTTCGGACAACAATCAGTAAAATAAATAGCAAATAGAGATTTAATTATTAATATTGCATTGTTTACCAACCGTTCAACATTTTTTTTATTATAAAAAATGAGTGTCAAAGATATTCTGAATATCTCGACTCCCCTGATTCTCGATGGTGGAACGGCAACCGAATTACTATTTTCCCTTCACAAAGACATCTCAACTCATTTATGGTCTGCTGCTCTATTATATGAAGATCCAAAATCTATTATTGATGTTCACCTATCTTATTTGAATGCCGGAGCAGATATTATAACCACTTGCAGGTTTGTACATATCTTTTTGAGGTAGGCTTATACTGTCAACACGCAATTTGCATTCCATTAATGACATACAGTTATCAGGCGTCTGTACAGGGGTTCATAAAATCTGGATTTACACCAGAACATTCTAAGAAGTTGATGCTTAGTTCAATTTCCCTTGCAGTTGAAGCAAGGGATCAATTTTGGCATTCGTATTTGCAACGTAACGAAAAAACAAAATTGACAGACCAACGTATCAAGCCACTTATAGCTCTTTCCATTGGTCCTTATGGTGCCATTTTAACTGACGGTTCAGAGTATACTGGGGATTATGGTCCTGGAGTCACTAGCTCAACAATCCTCGAGTTTCACCGATCACGCCTAGAAACTTTTCTTCCAAAATTTTCCGAGATAGATCTAATCGCATTCGAGACAATTCCCTCATTGCAAGAAGCCGAAACCATTTGTAAATTATTAAACGATGAAAAATATTGGAGAACTGGCACCCCTCCGGACCATTCTATCTCTTCATTTCCTCCGTGTTGGATTTCATTTTCTTGTAAAGATGAATCATTGATTTCACACGGAGAAGAACTGGCCCATTGCGTTAGATTATGTTGCGAGGTCGAATGCGTTGTAGGCATCGGTATCAACTGCACCAAACCTAAATTTGTCACTAATTTGGTTCGCATTGTTCGTAAAGAATTGGACGCACTCGGCCACTCCGAAAAATTTGTGATTTGTTATCCTGACGGAGGATGTATTTGGGATCCAGTTCGAAAGATTTGGGATTTAGATACAAGATTGAGCTCAGGTTTGTCTCATCATCATTTACAAATCACCTTTGATCGATTAAATCTGATCCGGATTTTTAGATGAATTCGGTATTCTAACAAGGACTTGGGTAAAGCAATCCAACAATAAAATAATCATGGGCGGTTGTTGTCAAATTACTCCAGAGTATATTGCGAATATCCGAAAAAATTTGATTGAGAGGATACAAGTTTAACATTGCCAATACATGTTATACTTCTTTCGAATATTTTAATAATAAAATAGAATAGATTTACAAATTTCTAATAGCGATTTCTTTAAATAAACATTATAGCATATGGTTTGTTTTTCAATATTATTAAAAAAATATAAAAACACCATTACTGCATCTCTTGCCTACACAATAAATGTAAAATATTTATAATAAAAATATTACCTTGTTAATACAACACTTGCAGTCTTTCAAAATAATTTGTTTATTATGGGTAAATGGGTTTATACTCATTTTCTAAAGGAAAAAAATTCTATTATTTTTTTTTTTGTTCGAAAAGAAATTATTATTATTATTATTAATTATTCTTGTTGCATTATCCAAAATATATTTTAGACTTACATTAGCTAAAATAAATTATTTTAAATAAAATTCATCATTACAATGTTACGCATAAAAAATTATTTCGTTAGAAATTCTATGTAGACAAGTGTGTCGGTACAACGAACATTATCAATGTAAATGCGATTTGTTAAAATATGATAGACATTAAACTGTTCCAATTTATCCAATGATTCAGAATGAGATTGATGGCTCGACGTGCTTATTCGGGTATTTCGCTTCCCGTTCTTCCTTATATTTATCTCTCGCAGGTTCCCTACGCGAAAGCACTAAACCTTCAAAAAGTTCTAGTTCAACGTCGCTTAGATAAAAACGATTCTTCCCTGCCAAATTTACTCTTATTGCTACAACATCCTCCAACTTATACGACTGGAAGGAGAGATAGAAATAAAAATATCGAGGCAGAGGAAGCTCGCTTAAAGAAATTAGGTGCCGAATATTTCAAGGTAAGCCATTAATTCCTTTTTTCTATCTCTTCATTTATTCGAGTTTGATTATCCACTCAATTAATTTCTTTCAGACACTACGTGGAGGTCAAACAACCTTTCACGGGCCCGGACAATTAGTGGGTTATCCAATTATTGATTTACGAGATTTTAAGGTAGGTTAATTTTGCGATTCTAATACACAATTTACACACAATTGGTAAATTTTAATCGATTTCTTCAGCTCTCCGTCCGAAATTATGTCAATGCCATTGAGCGTGTAATTATTCAAACGTGCGCAACTTATAAAATCGCTGCACGATCAACGAAAAATGTAGGAATTTGGGTTGAAAACGAAAAGATATGCGCAATTGGTATGAATTTTTGATAGGTTGGGATATTGAATAGTAGAAATATGAATCCATGCTTATTAATTTATTTAATTAGGAATTCAGGTACAACGTTATATAACTTCCCATGGATTTGCATTAAACTGTAATAACGATTTAAGCTGGTTTGATCATATCATTCCTTGTGGTCTTGAAGATAAGAAAGTAACATCTTTGACTAAGGAAGTTAATAAGCGTGGACAATCTGAGGATATCAATGTAGAACAAGTAATCCCAATATTATGTCAACATCTTGATAACATTTTCGGGTGTTCCTTGATCCCATTTGAAGATATTGGAGATGAGAGTATTAAAAGACTGAAGGAATTGATAGATGACCTTTTGGAATAAATTTAATTGCATGCATAATCACGTGTACCATTTTGACCGATCTACATTAAAATCAAATTAAGAAAAATACGCGCTGTATTGTTGTTTAAATGTCTTTACGTAGGGTGGTGGTGACAGGTTTGGGTCTGGTGACACCCTTATCGACTGGTGTGAAGTCTTCCTGGCAAAAGTTAATAAATAATGAAAGTGGTATAATCACTCTAAGATCGAATGATAATGAAATTGAACCAAGAAACGATAACATAAATATTCAAGACACGGATCGAGTAGCTAAATTGCCTTATCATGAAAGGGCGAAAGGTGTATTTGATGAATTACCAGCAACCGTATCCGGAGTAGTAAAACCCGGAAAGTATGAGGTTGGTGGGTTTGATGCAAAGGAGTGGCTGGATCGTGGGGTGATTATTAAAATCAATAGCTTTACACCTGTCTTTTAGACGGCTCAACTACGCGTAATTTAAATAAGTGAAAATTCTAATGTTAATCAGGATGAAAGGAAGATGGCATTATTCACCCAATATGCTATTTGTGCAGCAAAACAAGCTATAATGGATGCCGAATGGACACCTACATCTGAATTTGAAAAGGAGCGAACTGTAGGTAGATGCATGCAATGATTAAAATATGAAACTTTTCCTTCCTTAATATCATGCATGTACTCTATACATAGGGAGTATGTATAGGATCTGGTATTGGAAGCCTCGAAGATGTTGTCCAAGCAACTAATACATTTAATTCTCAAGTATGGATTGATTTTCGCGACACCATGAAATTCATTAACGTAGCTAATCCATAATTAACCAAATTTTCAATATATATGTTTTTTTTTAAGGGTTCAAGAAAAGTAAGTCCAATGTTTGTGCCAAGAATGTTGATCAACATGGCGGCGGGACATTTATCAATGAAGTATGGATTTCGTGTAAGTATCCGTTTTCTCCTAGAAGAATTATTATGTCATAAATTGAAATGGATTTTTATGATATTAAATGATAGGGGCCAAATCACGCTGCATCGACAGCATGTACGACCGGCGCACATTCAATTGGTGATGCAAGTAGGTTCATACAATTTGGGGATGCTGATGTTATGATTGCCGGTGGATCGGAAGCGTGTATATTGCCGTTGTCGATTGCAGGATTCGCAAAGTAATTGTCACGAGAAAAAGAAAATAAATTCCTTCCCTTTTATTATTTTGGACGGTCTCAAAGATATTTCTGTTATTGACAACAAGAGCAAAGTCGCTGGTGACCAAGTACAATGATCGACCAGAAGAGGCTTCACGTCCTTTTGATCGTGATCGGGATGGATTTGTGATAGGTGAAGGTGCTGGAATTGTTGTACTTGAGGTAAGTAAATATTACATTGAATTTATTTACAAACCGTCTCATTAGTAAACAAATAGGATTACAATCACGCGAGAAACCGTGGTGCAAACATTTACGCGGAAATTCGTGGTTACGGTCTATCAGGTGTGATTATTTTTAACGCATGGTTAATTTGTGGTCACAAGACGCATATTCAAATACATCTTTTATAGGTGATGCACACCATATGACCGCACCACCTGAAAGTGGCAAAGGTGCAGAATTGGCGATGCGAAGAGCAGTGAAACACGCCCAATTATCTTTCAGTGATATCGATTACATAAATGCGCATGCTACATCAACTTTATTAGGTAGAAATGGTTGATTACTCGATTTTTATTTTACATCTGCATAACGAATAGGAAAGTAAATATATTAGTCGATTATTGTTATTAAGGAGATATTGCCGAAAACAAAGCGATAAAATCGATCTTTGAAAGCTCCATTCGTAATGATAAATCCAAGAAACTGGCGGTATCGTCGTCAAAAGGTTCAATAGGCCATTTGCTGGGAGCAGCCGGAGCAGTTGAAGCCATTTTTACTATAATGGCAATCAAAAATGTATTTATCAAAGATATTATTATATTAACTCAACCATTTTATTAATATATTTTATTTATCTTCAAAAATTCTTGTTAATAGAGCATTCTTCCACCTACGCTAAACCTTCATAATCCCGGGAACCCTCCAACCGATTTTACGTCATTTAATTATGTTCCACTGGTCGCCCAACATTGTTCTTCTGGTATAAGAGCTGCATTAACAAATTCCTTTGGATTTGGTGGCACAAATGCATCATTATGTTTCGTAAAGTGTGAGTGATGATGCACGTTGATCATGGGAAGTTATGGAATACTGTTACTTAATTATTATTATTTTTTTTTTGTAATAATAATAATATTATTATTAAATTTAAGGATTCTGTTTTGATAGTCTTTATAAAATAATGGTTTCAATAAAATATGATTAGTTAAAATAATAATTGATATTAAGAAATTTATTCAAATTTTGAAGTTTTAATATACAGTATATGGATAATTATTTTTGAAAAGGATAAAATTTTTATTACAAAAAATCATATTGTTTCATATTACTTGGCCATTATTTAACATAAAATAATAACAATTACATATTGGTTTTCAAATTTATAAAATATTTTAAAACAAAATATATTTTTTCAATAATATTTAAAAGTATATGTTGTATATGATTTTACTTTATATAACAATCAAATATGTCATATTATATATACAGATATACTTGAACAAAGATATTGTACAATTTAAAAATACTATTATATACAACATATACAGTATATAACAATTTTATTTGAAATTTTATATTATTAATCATATTTGGAAATATACAATAAATATTATATATGAAATATAAATTATTTTGTTATGAATTCAATTTCTAAAAAAATATAACTTAAAAAAAAAACTCTCTCCTGATTGCGTCCGTTTTGTTAAAAATTTTCCTTTTATGGTAATTTTAAGCAAGAAAAAAT